CAACATAGCTGTCTCCCAAATTCCGTGTCATATGCAAGCGAGCGTTTCCAGTCCGGCATCCCTTTGTTGAACCGTCTCAGTGGGCGGCGCATCAATTCTTGGAGCCTTGTTCTTTGCACTGCCTTCAGTGTAGCTTGGTCTTCTTCCTTCAGAGCTGAGGATTCTTGCTTCCGTGCTGCCTGCTGAGGAGTTACACATTGGTACAGTGTCTCCATTCCTTCTACCTTCTTGTGATGCTTCCTGTATTCAATATTTTGCTCATAGAAGCCCTCAATATTACACACAAGCTTGAATTCTTTTCAGTTCTCCTACCTTGAGAAACGCTGAAGCTGTTCTTTTCGTTTTCCGATTCCAAGTCATACATTTCATTGTAATGCTTTTTGTCTTCTCAAGCCACACATTGGAATTTTCGTTTCAACTCTATTGTGCATCATTTCTTCCATTCATTTAGCTAATCGTGGTTCAAGAGCAAGTCCCAGAGTCTCCTCTCGCATCCATTTTGGTCTTTTCTTTCCTAGCTTCCTATTTTTGTTTTATTTATTTAAAACATTTTATCGTGAATTAGATAGAGACTTACAGAGAAGATCATTGAATGAGTCACATCCGTTGCAGTACCCTGGATCTACCATCGCTGCTTTCACTTCTCCCTGTGTTTCCTGCTTCCCTAACCCTCTGTAAACGCTGCGCTTTCCATCGCAACGACTTGGTGGCTCTAACAGGCAGTGAGTTCAGTTGCAGGCCTGGAAGGTGACTACGGCCACAGCCCCGGTGGTTCTCCCCGTCTCTGTCGACCAATAAGCCTGGTCTCTTAGGGTTCTGTGTTTCCCCCACTCTCACCAGTACCTTCTCATGTTACCCTTTCCAGAGCAGTTGGCAGTGGTAGCTGAGAGCCATCTTGTTCTTCTGATCTCAGGGCCTGGAGACTGGTGTTTGTGTGGTCCGTCCGTCCGTCCGTCCATCGGACTAGTTGTTTTTATACCCCTTCCAGTTTTCATCATCCGTCCTCCAGAGAGGCAGAGGGCACTGACAGTTGCACTCTGGGTGCCTGCTCACAAACTTCTCAGACCCGTCAGTATTCATGAAAGTAGAATGTAGAGCACTGTCTTTATGATTCTGAGCCCACAGGCCCAGCGACTCGTTCCCCTAAGGTGTTTGGTGATGGCTAAGAAGTGTTTATAACCTTGCTCCCTGTGTGCTCCACCATGTTCATGGATATGTAGACACAAAGGTAAAGACACATATTACAATATATATTCAAGTTTATTCTCCCACTCTCCCTCTCCATCTGTTAAGCCTGCATGTCTACCCTAGCATCTACTGGTCTTTCACCATATTGCAGGATAGCATATTTAACAATATACGCCTCAGTTTCAAACCTCTCCGTCTCCCCTGCCTCCATCACATTTTGTCAAAACCTCCCTCTTACTGTATATTTCGAGGCTCTGTCTCGGGCACTGTGGACGCGTTGTCAGGATAGACCAGTCCCTGGAGCAGGACACCGTGCTCAGTAAAGTAGAGGGACAGTGAGGAAGAGGAAGCCCTCAGCAAGGTGGACTGAAACAATGCCACAGCAGTGGGCAGAGCGTGGGAACAGTGGTGAGGACGGCCGGACCGGCAGCATTTCCTTCTGTTGTGCATTGGGTCACTGTGGGTCAGAACCAGCTCGGAGGCACCAACCGAACAACCACCAACTTGTGGATGGCCTTCTCCTTCACCCCATGAACTCTTGCCTGCCCTCGAGCCCATGACCTCACCTCCCTCCCTCCTCTCCCATCCCACGTAATGATCAAAGACCTTTGTGACTTTTACTGTAGTAATCGCATACACTGCCGTTTATATGATTAACTAGTTTCATTCAGTATTAAGTACTGATACAGCTACAGAGTGGGTGGATGAATTTTGAAAACATTGTGGTAAGTGGAAGAAGCCTCACAAAAGACCACGTAATTCCATTATCCCATTTACATAAGATAGAAAACAGACTTCAGCTTCAGGAGACAGATTGTTTGATGCCTGGGACTTTGGGAACGGCTGCTGCTGAATACTAGATTTCTTTCTGGCATGATAAAAGTGCTTTAAACTGTAATGGTTGCACAATTCAGTAAACCTCCGTAAGACCATTGGATTTAAATACTTGAAATGTGTCAACTGCATATGTGAGTTATGTCCCAATCAAACTGTATTGTGGTGGTCTGGGACCCACAATATCCCTGAGCCGTGCCTGCCCTTCCAGAGTCATTGCCGCTTTATGTGGCTCTGTAGAGGGTCGCCATGTGTGTGTGTGGGTGTGTGCACACCCCACTCCTAACACTGATCTTACTCTTTGAAAGCATATGGGCTCTTT